GCGTGATGCACTCTTCTTGTTTGTGTTATACATATGAACCAAGCGTGACGCACTCTTCTTGTTTGTGTTGTACATATGAACCAAAGCGTGATGCACTCTTCTTGTTTGTGTTATACATATGAACCAAGTGTGACGCACTCTTCTTGTTTGTGTTATACATATGAACCAAGCGTGATGCACTCTTCTTGTTTGTGTTATACATATGAACCAAGCGTGATGCACTCTTCTTGTTTGTGTTATACATATGAACCAAGCGTGACGCACTCTTCTTGTTTGTGTTATACATATGAACCAAGCGTGATGCACTCTTCTTGTTTGTGTTATACATATGAACCAAGCGTGATGCACTCTTCTTGTTTGTGTTATACATATGAACCAAGCGTGATGCACTCTTCTTGTTTGTGTTATTCATATGAACCAAGCGTGATGCACTCTTCTTGTTTGTGTTATTCATATGAACCAAGTGTGACGCACTCTTCTTGTTTGTGTTATTCATATGAACCAAGCGTGATGCACTCTTCTTGTTTGTGTTATTCATATGAACCAAGCGTGATGCACTCTTCTTGTTTGTGTTGTACATATGAACCAAGCGTGACGCACTCTTCTTGTTTGTGTTATACATATGAACCAAGCGTGATGCACTCTTCTTGTTTGTGTTGTACATATGAACCAAGCGTGATGCACTCTTCTTGTTTGTGTTGTACATATGAACCAAGCGTGACGCACTCTTCTTGTTTGTGTTATACATATGAACCAAGCGTGATGCACTCTTCTTGTTTGTGTTATTCATATGAACCAAGCGTGACGCACTCTTCTTGTTCATGTTATACATACTGCTGTGCTACACAGTCATGTGTGGTGCCATGTTGTTTACCATACTGCTGTGTTACACAGTCATGTGTGGTGCCAGGTTGTTTACCATACTGCTGTGCTACACAGTCATGTGTGGTGCCATGTTGTTTACCATACTGCTGTGTTACAGTCATATGTGGTACAGGTTATTTACCATACTGCTGTGCTACACAGTCATGTGTGGTGCCATGTTATTTACCATACTGCTGTGCCTACACAGTCATGTGTAGTGCCAGGTTGTTTACCATACTGCTTGTGTTACACAGTCATGTGTGAGTACCATGTTGTTTACCATACTGCTGTGTACACAGTCATGTAGTGCCAGGTTATTTACCATACTGCTGTACTTTCACACAGTCATGTGAGTACCATATTGTTTACCATACTGCTGTGTTACACAGTCATGTGTAGTGCCATGTTGTTTACCATATAACCATTGCACGTGTGTGTGTGATACCTGTTATTTTACCATACTGCTGTATTTACACGTCATGTGTAGTGCCAAGTTCATTTACCATACTGCTGTGCTACACAGTCATGTGCTGTGACTATATGTTATTTACCATACTGCTGTGTTACACAGTCATGTGTGGTGCCATGTTATTTACCATACTGCTGTGCTACACAGTCATGTGTGGTACCATATTCTACATACTGCTGTGCTACACAGTCATGTGTGGTACCATATTTACCATACTGCTGTGTTACACAGTCATGTGTAGTGCCATATTGTTTACCATACTGCTGTGTTACACAGTCATGTGTAGTGCCATGTTATTTACCATACTGCTGTGTTACACAGTCATGTCAAGTGTGTTTACCTTACGGCTGTGTTACACAGTCATGTGTGAGTACCATGTTGTTTCATACTGCTGTGTTACACAGTCATGTGTAGTGCCATGTTGTTTACCTTAACTGTGTTACACAGTCATGTGTGGTACCATGTTGTTTTACCATACTGCTGTATTGCACAGTCATGTGTAGTACCATGTTATTTACCATACTGCTGTATTGTTACACAGTCATGTGTGTTACCATGTTGTTTACCCATACTGCTGTGTTGCACAGTCATGTGTGAGTGCCATGTTATTTACTGCTGTGCTACACAGTCATGTGTGGTGCCATGTTGTTTACCTTACGCTGTGTTACACAGTCATGTGTGGTACCATGTTGTTTACCATACTGCTGTGTTACACAGTCATGTGTGGTACCATGTTGTTTACCATACTGCTGTGTTACACAGTCATGTGTGGTACCATGTTGTTTACCATACTGCTGTGTTACACAGTCATGTGTGGTGCCATGTTGTTTACCATACTGCTGTGCTACACAGTCATGTGTGGTGCCATGTTGTTTACCATACTGCTGTGTTACACAGTCATGTGTGGTGCCATGTTGTTTACCATACTGCTGTGTTACACAGTCATGTGTGGTGCCATGTTGTTTACCATACTGCTGTGTTACACAGTCATGTGTGGTGCCATGTTGTTTACCATACTGCTGTGTTACACAGTCATGTTTGGTGCCATGTTGTTTACCATACTGCTGTGTTACACAGTCATGTTTGGTGCCATGTTGTTTACCATACTGCTGTGTTACACAGTCATGTGTGGTGCCAGGTTATTTTTACCATACTGCTGTGTGCACAGTCATGTGTGGTGCCAGGTTGTTTACCCATACTGCTGTGTATTTGCACAGTCATGGTAGCCAGTGCCAGTTGTTTACCATACTGCTGTGTTGCAGTCATGTGTGGTGCCAGGTTGTTTACCATACTGCTGTGTGTTACACAGTCATGTGTGGTGCCAGGTTGTTTACCATACTGCTGTGTTACACAGTCATGTGTGGTGCCAGGTTGTTTACCATACTGCTGTGCTACACAGTCATGTGTGGTACCATGTTGATTACCATACTGCTGTGTTACACAGTCATGTGTGGTACCATGTTGATTACCATACTGCTGTGTTACACAGTCATGTGTGGTACCATGTTGTTTACCATACTGCTGTGCTACACAGTCATGTGTGGTACCATGTTGTTTACCATACTGCTGTGTTACACAGTCATGTGTGGTACCATGTTGTATACCATACTGCTGTGTTACACAGTCATGTGTGGTGCCATGTTGTTTACCATACTGCTGTGCTACACAGTCATGTGTGGTACCATGTTGTTTACCATACTGCTGTGTTAATAATAATAATAATAATAATAATAATAATAATAATAATTAACGGTTTATTGAAAGAGCTTAGCAGCCAGACGGCTGAAAATATAGTTACATATTTGGGGAATGGGTTTCGAATTACAAATAATATACAAGTATCATAAGTGACACAAATAAGACATATAATAACTAGATGGGGAAAAGCTCAAACTACAGTGCATTTCAACATAGTGACAGTGCAAGGAGTAGTGTTTACTGGGAGTGAATACACTGGTTTATTACAAGTTATTGATAATTTTTACAATGGTTGGGACTGGGCTGTTCTTATAGCGATCAGTTCGTGCACGTATGGGCTGGATGCGGTTGTAGTGTCAACAGCAATTCTCGGACTAGGGATCTCAGGTGGTAGTAGGGCCGGTGTCGAGGATGGTGTAGAAGCTTCTTACCAAATTTGCAGATGAGGTCGTGGTGATGGTCAGTGAGAGTCTAAAGGGTCAGTGTGTTGAGCGCTTCTTGATATGTGGAGTAGGAAGGGTAGAGAATAATCTTGCATGGCCTCTTTTGCACTTTTTCGAGGTGTTTACGTTGTGTGGCATTTAGGGAGGAAGACCAGGTGGAGGAGGCATAGGTGAGCTTGGGGAGTATGAATGTTGTGTAAACACTGGAGGGAGGTGCAGGAACTTGAGGACTTGAGTCGGCGGAGGAGGTGGAGACGAAACTGGAGGATTGACAACCACTGACGGTGGTTTCCAATTTAGTTTGTTGTCTATGGTGACGCCGAGGGAGCTGCGGGAATCTACAACCTGGAGGTATGGGACCAGTAATGGAAGGAGGTGGGACAATGTCGGAGGAGATCATGTGTGGTGCCATGTTGATTATTACTGTTGTGTTATACAGTCATGGTGGTACCATGTTGTTACATACTGCTGTGTTACACAGTCATGTGTGGTGCCATGTTGTTTACCATACTGCTGTGTTACACAGTCATGTGTGGTGCCATGTTGTTTACCATACTGCTGTGTTACACAGTCATGTGTGGTGCCATGTTGTTTACCATACTGCTGTGTTACACAGTCATGTGTGGTGCCATGTTGTTTACCATACTGCTGTGTTACACAGTCATGTGTGGTGCCATGTTGTTTACCATACTGCTGTGTTACACAGTCATGTGTGGTGCCATGTTGTTTACCATACTGCTGTGTTACACAGTCATGTGTGGTGCCATGTTGTTTACCATACTGCTGTGTTACACAGTCATGTTTGGTGCCATGTTGTTTACCATACTGCTGTGTTACACAGTCATGTGTGGTGCCATGTTGTTTACCATACTGCTGTGTTACACAGTCATGTTTGGTGCCATGTTGTTTACCATACTGCTGTGTTACACAGTCATGTGTGGTGCCATGTTGTTTACCATACTGCTGTGTTACACAGTCATGTTTGGTGCCATGTTGTTTACCATACTGCTGTGTTACACAGTCATGTGTGGTGCCATGTTGTTTACCATACCATGTTGTTTACCATACTACTGTGTTACACAGTCATGTGTGGTGCCATGTTGATTACCATACTGCTGTGTTACACAGTCATGTGTGGTGCCATGTTGTTTACCATACTGCTGTGTTGCACAGTCATGTGTGGTGCCATGTTGTTTACCATACTGCTGTGTTGCACAGTCATGTGTGGTGCCATGTTGTTTACCATACTGCTGTGTTACACAGTCATGTGTGGTGCCATGTTGTTTACCATACTGCTGTGTTACACAGTCATGTGTGGTGCCATGTTGTTTACCATACTGCTGTGTTACACAGTCATGTGTGGTGCCATACAATAGTTTTACAAACATTCTACTCCCAGAGATCAAAGTTGCTCACCAGTTTATTTTTTATTTAAATATTGTTAATAACTTGCCTGCAGGTTGTTGTATGTTGGTTTCCTATCCTATAGTATAGTAATATTAATTATCTCGTTTCTGTTTTCCCAGGAAAGAAAATGGTCTTCCCTCCAAAGAAAAAGACGATCGAGGTGACCGAAGACGCGATAGACCGTCTAGATTTGAACGCTCGGGGACCCGCTCACCGCCGGGCGTGGAAGACAAGATGGGTCTGGTGGAGCGGTTACGAAACCTGGCATCTGGCGGAGACATGGAACACAGAGATAGATATGACCGGGAAAGACGGGATAGAGACCAGGACAGAGTTCGGGACGTACACGAGAGAGACGATCGTCTTCATGATCGAGATCACGATGCCATGAGAGGAAGAGAAAGTAAGTAGTGAATTTATATATCATTAATGTGAATAACTTTGTACACATTGGAGCTGTTACCTCTCACTTAATTATTACATCACATAACTTGTGTCTCTCCACAGATCGTTTTGGTCCTGATGCGTTTAGCGGTCCTCCTCCAGGCTTTCCTCAACAGGGACAACGACCCGACGGTCCTCCCAATTTCCGTCCAGATGGCAGTGCCGGGCCCAACGGTCCCGTTGGGCCCGGTGGCCCAGGAGGACCCAGTGGCTACAATAACTTTGTTCCGGTGCCTGGGTTTGGTCCTCCAGGTGGAGGTTCTGGAGGTCCACCAGGAATGATGGGTGGACCACCTGGCCCACTTGGACACTCAGGAATGAGAAATGATGGCTTTGGGCACATGGGCATGGGAATGATGTCTGGACCCAACGGCCCAGGTTAGTTCTTTCTTTGAAAACTGTTTTAAAAAACGTCATCACTCCCAAGGTGTACTGTAGGTGCTAAAGGGGTATCCGGAGGTCTGTACAGTACCATTGATAGATGGATTCACAGCCACAGAATATTACTTCATATATTAATTGTTCTCTGTAATTTACAGGGACTCCTTTTCAACTGTTTGAATAGTTTCTTCAGATGAGGTGTAATAATATTTTGATAAAACTGATTTATTCTGTCATATTTACTTGTATCCATCAGAAGTAAGAGTTTATCTTCCATTGCATTAGTCATCATTGAGTCAATAGTGTCATCCTCATATCTGAGGGTTGGTGAGCACAGTCCTCCACTCTTAATAAATGTTTTGGTATTGTTTGTAGTATTCATACTATACATTGTGTGTGGTGAAGCTTTCATCCTTTAATCATAGACTGTTCTTCCTTATAGGTTTTGGTCCTCGGGGTATGCACGGTCCTGGTGGATTTAATGGCCCTCGGGGATTGCTCGCACCTCCTCCAATGGGCATGGGTTCGTTAATGGGCAATAGACCTCCACTCATGGGAGATATGCCTGGTGGTCCTAATGGCTCAGGAGGGATGAGAGGTCCTGGAGGAATGCCAGGACAGCGTCCAGGTGAGTGGACAATTTATTATAACAATAAATATAAGGGTTGGAGCATTATATGGGAGTCACAAACAAGAAAGTTCCCATGTGCTTTTGTGTAATTCACAAAAGAGGGGTGAATTACACGAAAGCGCTTAGGAACTTCGTGTTTTCTTGTTTCCTATGTGGTTATCAGCATATTCATGGATCACTCGCACCTACAGTGATTTATTTGCATATGCCTGTATATATTCTCAATTGTATACAGTAAGTTAAATTACTGGGTATATTCCTTGGACAATTCTAAGCCACAGTGTGATATGACAGTATGTTGGAATCCAAATACTCGTAGATGGGTAGCTATGCTACAGTGCCTGAAATATGTTTAGGTAATGCTAGTGAGGTTGAAGTGATACAGCTGTAGATTTGTGTGTAATCTTATGCAAATAAGTACACAATGTGATACAGTTGTACTGTAACAGTAAATGTTGAAAATTCCCTCCATTTGCCTCTGTATCACATTGTGTAAAGTTAGGTGCATAAAATTACTCACAAATCTACAGCTGTATCACTCCAACCTCACTAGCATTACCTAAACATATTTCAGAAGTTTATAAGACTTCAAACTTGTGTCATTTTAATGTGGACACACACACAGGAGAGGAGAGGAGAGAGAGTATTAATTAATGGAACAACTGGTGCAGAGGAATATTCATTTTCCTTTCACTCTGGACATGTCCCATTACCCATACAGTACCAGAAAATACTCCTTAATTTAGGTGTACCCCATAAACCGATCCCCCAATAACCGTCGCTTCACATAACTGACGATTGCACATCGGGGAAATATCCCGTAAGTTTCATTGAGATCCGACGATCGGGAGAGTTGCGGCAGAGCTGTTTTGAATTTGGCAGACTGTGGCGTGTTGTGAATTCTTGCCACTAGGGGGACTCTGCGCTTTGACCTGACTCAGAGTTGTAGACAGAGAGAGAGTTTGGCCAACCAGGCTCCATGTTGTTACTCAGCAGGTGGGAAGTCTTCTTGGGCTGTCTCACACATAGTTTATAAACATGCTTATCCAACTGTAAACGTGTATGACAACATTACTGAATCATTATCATCATCCTCTACAGTATGAGCGCAAACTTCTTAAGCCGTGTAACAACATGGTGCCCATGTGTCCCCGAGTTGACCGAACTGTATCTATCTATGGCTCTGCCCTAACTCATTCCCTCCATCTTTCCTCTTGTTTACACCTACGATGTTTCTCTGACTTTGTGTTTATTTCATTATTTCTGACTTATTTTGTTACTCATTCGTGCCTAAATACCCCAGTGATAGTTCTTCTTGTGCTGAGCAGCTTGCTGTCATGTGATAAGGCATAATAAGTGTTAATGGACCAGCAAACAGTGGTGGAGACTTATAGTTGCCACCCTAGACCATCTCTACCATCCTCAACACAGATATATGTCTCAATTTATGCTTTACATTGCTTATTTAAGGCTTATTATGTTTGCTTTATATGTCTGCTTTATTTTCTTGCTTGCAGTACAAAGATATATTAAGGGTAGATGGGAGTTTTTGGAGGGTGGCCGGTCCCTAGCCCCCAGAAGTTGTTGTGTTCTTAAGGGATTAGTTGTTTTGATAACCGTTGATTTACTGACCAACGACTTTTCTCGGTCCCTATATGTGTTGGTTATTAGGGTATACCTGTACTGTACTGTACTGGAATCTGGTCTGTTGGGCACCTCCTTATAGTGACCCACTACAGCACCACACACCTCCTCCTTCCTCCTCCTTAATGTTGCGCCTTTCACGGCTGCTTGTGCAGTCCAAATCTCATCTGTAGACCGGTCAATGACACTAAATGTGTCAAACAAACTTGCATAGATTTTCCATTTAATGTATTTTTCATTTATCATTTACAGGTAAAAATATGCAACTTCTTTCTTATTATTATATTGAGTTAAAAGGATAAACTATCTAAGTGATAAAGAACAAAATACTGTACACTGGATCGCATATTTTGGGATGGATGCGTTCTGAAAAAAGTGGCCATATTGCCATGACAGGAGCCATTTTTCCCATGTTAAAAGTGAAGATGCGCTCACATTGAATTTTTATTTATTTTTTTGTCAAGACAAGTAACAAAAACACTTACAGGCATCCCCAGGGTTAAGGAAGGGTGTCATTCATGAAGATTTTTTCCTTTATGCTGGACTGTTTTTACCATTGACTTCCATTATATAATTTGAGATGTGTTCCCAAGGAAATTTTGTTGCAGCCCAAAAATGTAACACAAGCACATATACTGTATAGATGAAAAGAGACAATTTTAAACACAATGATTCATTGATGATGTAACATGATAATAGATGCACACACTTGAATTTAACTCGGCAGAAACAATGTTGAGTGCGGCAGGAGGTGGAAGGTGAGATGAGGTGGTGGGAGAGTTACTGGGAGTTACCTCCTTAAAACATCAAGTTTAATGTCCAACACAATTACTTTATGGACTCTGTTATCTCTGCTGCTTTCACTTGAACTTGATGGTCTTCTTCCACTCAACTTATATAAGGGGACACAGTAACACATGCAGAACTGAACATGAACTGGGGAAAGAATTCAAACTGAGCGGCACCATTGTTGTGGTGAATGCTGGGAGATGAGCGGCCTTCCAACTGCCTTGTGGTCACCACAGAGAATCCACATCATATTTAAAATTTGACGCCTAATGTCCCTCTGGGCACGCTACACTGTCCTAAGGGCAAAGCTGTACTGTACGTGTACTCAAAATAATGTACTAAATGATTACTAAAATTTTTGTCTCGTGCAAACTATAGCATGATTATATTCAAATTAATCACTATCTTGTAAGAATTCCAGAAATGTAAATTATATTCTCCCCGGTCACTTCTGTGACATTTTATAAGCAAAACACATAAACTCAAGCTAAAGGACATAAATAAGCAAATAAATACTTCACTAGACCTTCAGCGCCAACTGTCAAACATGTCACTGTCACCCCTCCCCTATCTTCCCAGCAAGGGTTTGGTGTTTTAGGCTTAAAGTTTTTATCTTATATAATATCACAGACTAAAGTTAGGAGAATATAATTTACATTGCTAGAATCCTTGTAAGACAGCGAATAATTTGAATATAAAGATCATATATTTTGCACAAGAGATAAAATTTTTAGCTCTTTGTACTAAAATTTATTAGAACATGTCAGTTCAGTGACATTTTATAAGAGAAAAACTTAAGCCGCTCTTAAGGACAGATAAATAAATAAGCACTAGACCTTGGCATCAACTGTCAAACATATCACCCCCTCATCTTCACAGCCAGTAAACAGACCATTTCACATCCCATAATTTTAGCTGTGTTGATTACTACAAAAAACAATGTTTTGTTTATTCTAGGAGATGGGCTGAGGTGCATCTGGGTAGACTCAGTCTTTTTAGTATTTTGTGTTTCTCTCAAATACCAAACTAAATTCATCCATTGAAACAACACTTTGATTTAGTGGTAATTCAGTTTAAAGCGACCTCTCTTGGGACCTGTCTTGGAACGTATCTCGTATGTGTTCTACTGTATTATTTTGGTTTTGGCCATCTGGGCATTAAGTACTTTAAACAACAACACATTATCTCTACGGGATAGAAAGGGATTTCTGTCGCAAAACATTTTTCGATCTCATAAGAAAATACAGATCATATGTTAGGTTAGGTTAGGTTAAGGTATGATGAGTTATAAGGTTAGCTTAACATACACTGGTGGTGGGGGGGGGGGGTAGTAACAAAGAACTAGTGATTTCTGATAGAAATGAAGGTCTAAATCATTCATAACACATCACAACCACCAGAGAGAAACATCGTCTGTATGTCCCAGTACAGCAATGACCAAAACTTAACATTTACCCCCATTAATTAATATAAACAATGATATCTCCCAGTGGTTCATTAGTGAATCATCAAAACAATAACAGCACTATATTTTCATGTTAACTAGCATCAGGCATTCTCAAAACAAAGTCCAGACAATGTCATTACTTCTAAATTTACTTATATCTCCATTTAGTACTGGTATACTCTGTAAATGCACTGAGAAACAAGAGAAAGTCTACCAGGTAAGAGTATGTGACAGCTGAGCTGGTGTGAACATGGGAGCTTTTATGTCCATAAGCTGCTCTTCACGGCACATTTCTTCTCTTACGAAATGTCCATGACTTAGACCATAAAAAACACCCATAAAACTTGCCTGAATGTAGCATTTGGGGTCTGAAGAGGCCATCCTTGTACTACTGCAGTAATGAGTTTGAAACTAGTGACGTCCTGTTTCTAGAGAAATAAAGTTATCTCGACTATTAGAGCAGACTTTAAACTTTTATTACAAATTATATATATGCAGTATCACTCTACGAATGTGGCAGAGTGTATTTCTTGTGTTTACCCAGAACCTTCAATTCGGCCATTATGAATGTTTGACCACGAAATTAAAAAATAAAAGTAATGAGTTTTGATAGCGGTCTCTGGCAATTAAGAATGAGAATTTTTATTTCATGAATTTTCACAACTCCACTGTAGTAGGTAGTGACTGTGTGGAACATGCACTGTGATACCATACATGTCAGCAGCTCCACGGTTTACATCTGGGACTGATGTAGTTTCACCCAGCGTAAAATTCATAAATAATATTAAGAAAGACTTATTCCTTCATTCCTTCACTTTTTGTGTAAGAGAGGGGGCAGCAGCTGGGTTTTCATGGGGTAAAAATGCATTTATCTTAAAAAAAAATCCCCTAGTTGCTGGTTAAGGTGCACATCCATCATCCAGTATTACCCCAGTTGTGTGGGTCAATGAGTCAGGCAGAGGTAGCAAGGCTATAATAATATTGGGCTCTTTTTTTCTTTTCATTGTTTTGTTAAATCTTCCCTTTTTACAGTTCTCTTTATTTTCTGTAGTATACTGCACTTGAACACTGTATATTTTGTGCTTTTAAGCATTGCTTGGGGAATTTTTGGAGCCTT